TAGCTTTTAGGTTAAAGTAAAAGTTAAGAAACTTACTAACAATAGTATTAATTATGGTCGATAATTAATACTTATTTTAGTTAGGTTACGTACTTACTATACACACACACACACACACACACACACACACACATATATAATCTTGTTTCCCTAGTTGCTTTGGAAAATGTATAATTCTACTTTACACATCTGCAAGCACAGCCTTTTTATTATATTCGTTAAGGTTGATGTATTACAAAATTATTCTTATCAAAGTTTGAAGGTAGAGGTGCATTGATACTTTTGTATATATTGCATAACCAATATAATAGTCTGAATAAACTCACATGTGATACAATTTAAGAATTTTATATGCTGAGAAATACTAGATGCATTAGATGTTTTGTTTGAAATGTATATGATGAATTATTGTAAGTGGTTTTTCTATATGGGTGAGTGGAAGCAAGCAATTTGCTTAGGTACTCCTAACTCTGTAGAGGAAAATCTGTCTTTGATAACCTTTTAATTCATATATAAACATTTTGTTAATAAAACATTACTCAAACATTATCAGTAGTACTACTTTAATTTTTTGTAATTACAAAAATTTGGATTGTTCTTTAAAATTTTAAAACAGTATTCAGAGATTACAGAAAATCTCTAGCTACTCCACTCTAAACCCTTAAAGTTTTCAAAGAGTCCCCTCCCCCCTTTAAAAATGAGGCATACCCACTTCAAATTTAACTTTTAATATTTAATTTCTTACACTTTCTCAGTTATGTCATAAAATTATTTCTTGTAGAAGTGTAAAGATTATAAGATAATGAAAGTCTTGCATTTGTATGAATGAAAAACTGTTAATTGGTATTGATAGTATTAAACACGCTTGCTATTATAAATTCCATCATTCTGTCTCGTAGAAATATAAATTTGAAGAGTAGAGGTGTAATATTTCATAAGTAGTGAATTAATGTACTGTACATAGGGAAGTGTCTTTTTAATTAAACAGACAAATTTTATGTCAGAGACTATTTTCATTAATTTTAAAGGACACTTTTCCTTGTATATCCTGAACAGTGTGTAGCACATCCTAATTTTAGTGACAGTTTGAAAATTAGTTCATCATTTATGATGCTTTAAAAGTACAAAAACAAGAAAAATGCACTATTGCCTCCTTGATTGATAAATGTTATCTCCATTACTTACACTACCACACAACATTTACAAATCAAATTTATGGATTTAGAGGGAACACTTTAATCCCATATGTTTTTTTTCATGAATTAGAGCTAGTGTTTGGTAATGAATACAGCTAACTTGAGACATTTATCTTTGCTCTTTTCTGGCTTAAATCTTCAGATCTTTTTCTGAATTATTGAAATAAAATAAAAATTAGTATGTCTAAACAATATTAAAGTAATTTTAGTAATCCAATTTCACATTTTTTTTAAAGAGTGATAATTCTTTAATTATATTAAGTGCAATGTAGTGCATGTGGGATATACTTATTTGAATTATGAATATAATTTTGATGCGAATAATAACCTAGTATTGGCAGCGTTTTAGGTCCTATGTACAGAAATATTGAATGCAAGTTTAAACAGTTTATAATTTTAGTATATAGATAATCATTAGGCCATATTTGGAGTATTTTGTTCAGTATTGGGTACCTTACCTTAGGAAGGACATTGAATTGTTGGAAAGGGTTCATAGGGTATCTGATTGAGGTGTTTAAGGTTCTTAAGAGAAACGATAGGTTGATGCATCACTTTTTTTGTTTTTTTGTAAGTAATGGTAAGAATAGTAGGACTGGAGGACATGTATATCAATTTTGACAGGGTAGGAGTTATCTTCAGCTATAACAACTTTATTTTTCTAAAAGCCTTTGAAGTAAGCTGCCTTCAAATGTGGATGAAGTTAATTTAAGGTAGTTTAAGGGAAGACTTGATAAATATTGGAATGATAAGGGCTGGCTTTGAGTGTTTTATTTTTCTGTTTGGCTTAGTGGATGGGATGGCTAAATGGACCATTGTTGTCTTTAAATTATATGTATAGAAGCATAAGTTTTTGTTTGTAACATAAAATATAATGGATTTTACTTTGGTGTTTTGTTTTTGGTACTATTGTTAGTAATGTTGTTTTAGCCCTCAACTTATTTTTTATATTATTCACTATCAGTTCCAACTATTGCGTTATATAGAGTAATTTCATGTTTTCATCTTTTACAACATTTACTCTAAAGAACTGACTAAAACAATAAAGTGGGAACACTTACTTTCTATGTAAAATGCCCAGCAACATTTAGTAGGATTGATTACATTATTTAATTGATACTTGAAACTGTCGGTACTTAGTGAAACTTCGTAATTACAGAATTGAGAAAAACAACACAGTTGTACATTTCACAAATACATAATTTATTCATGACCACAGTTTCACCAGCGAAGGTATCATCAGGTACAGACTGAAATGTTTTGTAACAGTGTTTACAAAGATGTTTAAACAAAGAACCGGAAGTGACCTTGACATTCACTTAGACAAGTGGGGTAAGAAGTGGAAAGCTGGTTTGGTCATTTAGTATATATATATATACACATCAGAGAGGATGTTCCATAGAAACAAGAATTGAAGAAAATTCTAGAAGCTAAACATGGGCATCCACAGCAATTTTTCCAGGGGGGGGGGGCATGAAGCTGGAAATTAAGGAAAATGGATTCAATTTTGCATCCCACCTTATTGAAACTAAACACCAATTTGACCCAGAAAAAAAAACTGCAAAATTTTATATATCTGTGAAAAACGTAAAAAACTAGGTAGTCTGTAAATTTCAGAAATAAATAAAAGTCTGAAAACAGTCCTGGAAAAAGGTCTAAATGACCAAACCAACTTAAACTCCTCACCACTTCTTACCCTAGTTTTGTATCTGTACATGATGATGCCTTTACGATGTATTTGTTAAACTTACAATTGTTTTTGTTTTTCTTCAATTCTGTGATTACATTATTAATGGAATTTTGTTTAAATTTTTTGTGACTTGTACATTATTAAAGACTTTCTAGCCAACAAATTAATAGACCCAAGAACAATTTGACCAATAAATAGTGTAAAAAAGGGTTTAAAAAACTGATAATTAGTAATGTTAAGACTAGATTGAATATTATAAGATTTTAATAAAATATGTATTTTGTTGTCAACCCTACCTTATCAGGTTCTTTTATTTTCTGTTGGAAGTTAACTACAGTGTAAGTTCCAAAAAAATAATGATTGATAATTTGTATCTAAAACAGTATAGTTTTGTATGAAAGTTTGTGTATTAACTAAGGTTTTTGAATATTGTGTTGAAATTCATTGTATTATTTATTAGGAACATTTTGGATTGTTGATAATGGCTATAAGAAATTCATTCTTTAATTCTCAAGGTTCACCATATCCATTAGCAAACTGACTAGTGAAAGTCAAATGACATATTAGATTCATTATGGAAAGTAACTGTTACTTCTGTGTTTAAAACAATGTATTATAACATAAAAAACATAAACTGGCACATTGCCAACAGAAGTTACTTTCTTGGGTAATGGGAATGAAAGTAGTGTTCTGTAGAAGATTTTGATAGTGTATTGATAGCCTGGTAAGGTTAATTGGTAAGTTCAGTTAAGCTTATAATATGTTTACAAGGTTCACAAATACTAAGGTTAAATTTAGACAGGTTTGTGGTAGGAGAGCAAGGGCTCTAATCACTGTGGTTGCTCTTTGTGCAAAACTTTTTATAATTTAAATTTATGTTCGTAGAAGGACGTGTTTCGAGAATTTGTGTAAAATATTATTTCTTCATCTAGTTTGTTGTTTTGATTGGTCATTCTAGACTTGAATTAGCTCATACATAATTTTTCCATGTACATGAAGAGGCACAGACAGGCCAAGATAAACCATGTGTAGGATCTTCTATAACCATTACTTGTATCATTACATGAAACTGTAACTTCAACCATATGCATCTTTTTGTGTGACTGTAGACCTAATTAAAAGTTTCTTATTGCAGTTGCCAAGTTTGTGATGTTATTCCTT